CACAATAGCACTATTTCAAAGTGGCCTACAACAACTTAAGTGTGGCCAAAAAAATTGAAAAAAGGCACACAGATATCAAAGAAGAGTACAAAAACTGCAAATCAAAGTCAGAAAGAAAAGGATCAGCAACGGAAATAGAGCAGATAGAAGGGGCTTGAAAATTGTAATGGCCGAATCTGAGGACCTATGCTTCATGTTAATGGCACGTATCGATGAAGCGAAGTGTGCCAGAGACAGAATGAATGTCAAACTGGGCTACGTCACTCAGAAGACGCAATTTGAAAATAATAAAACAGATAGCCAGGAAGTCCATATTATCCCTGATGAAGATAGAGTCAGCACGGAGAGTGCAAAAAACAGTTCCTCATCAAACAGGCCTAATTCGGAGCAAATCCAACGCGAAAGCTCCACCATTAAAACTTCTTTTAGGTCTATGAACCCTCCGCAAGCATCTTTGCCGAAATTTTAGGGCAATTCAGAAGAATTTTCCGAATTTTGAGCGGTATTTGAGACACTTGTTCATAAAAGTACCGAACTAATCAAACAAAGCCTCAAAGGCAGAGCTCAAAACACTATCAAAGGAATACAACTTAATCCAGATAATTATGAATGGATCACAGAAACTTTGTTGGAAATTTACTGTAACCAGCCCGGAAATCGGTTGCAGATAACTCGAGCGCTGGTTAATTTGGAACCAGCCACCAATTCAGCAGACGATTGCTCGGCCGTCTTTGGTCAAATTCAGGTCCTAATCAACCAAATGATATCCGCAGTATACGACGTGCGGAATACTTGCGAGCCAACATGGAGTGAACTCGTCTTGGCCAAATTTCCTCAAGATATGGTCAAGCCCTTTTCGATATCAGGGCGATCTCCAACTAACCAAACAACGGCAGACTTAATGGGTCATCCTAAGAAGAGATCGCCGTTAAGCTTTACATTGAGGAAAGACTTGGCCACACAATCGAAAACAGATCTGGCCAGGTACTTGAAAACAAAGGCACCCTGCCGCGAGAAAAATATACTCCATGACCTCAATCTGGCGAAGAATGTGTATTTTGCGGCAGAAACAACCTTAACTCAATGGCATATCGAACAGTGACGGACCAGAAGAGTCGCCGTAAATCCCTAGAAGAAGGTAACAAACGTTGGAAGTGTGGCTCAAGCAAACACAATAGCTACTATTGCCAAAAACCAGACTGTTACTTATGTTGACAGAATCACCAACCTAGTTTATGCTTTAGAAGAGAGACAACCTTTCCTGGACACAACTACCATCCCAGAAAAGTTAATCAGAGGAACACAAATGCAGAACAAACCTCGTCCGAGCCATATTTCGCTCAAAACAAAGATCAAAGACCAAATTACGGTATCGAGCATAGCACATTCACTAACAACCTACATACTGAATCAAAGATAACTCAAAGTGCAATCTCACGACAAAATCACATTTCATCACAAATCGTTTTGATGACAGCCGAGGGCACCCTTTGGAGCTTTAAAAAGCAGGAATACGTCAATGCATTATTCTTTTTCGATTCCGGGGCAGAAAAACGATAATTGAGGAAAGCCTAGCCAACGAACTAGGATTACCGAAAGACTCCACTGAGATTTGCACTATTTCTGGCATCGGAGGCCATATTGATAACTTTAAAAGTGACACAGTGCTCACAAGAATTATACAGCTCCCGGAGAAGAAATGGGGCTCAAGATTCAGACGAGACCTATTTTAACGAACGGCTTCCCAAGTGTCGAATTAACTACAGCAAATGCCACATTCCTGAAGGAAAATAACATCGATCTGGCCAACTCGAAACTCCTTGAAGAGCATCAAAAGCCCCACATTCTGGTTGGATTAGATTATTATCATGACCTACTATCTGGTCCAAATCATACACAAAAAACAGGTCTCCAAATCGCAAAAACCGTATTCTCACCAACCCTATACGGCAGAGGGCTCCTGACGGCAGACAACCTAACCAATAGTACTTATCAGGCATTAACGGCAGTAGTCGAGCAAACTGAGCTCAAAATGCCGTAGAAATTGTTCGAATGGGACGGTTCCGGTATCACAAAAGAAGAATGTCTAGACGGCCTCACATCAATTCCTCCATGTCCAGTAGATAATCTTCGATCAAATATCAAGTTTCTCTTTCCGGAAAGAGGAAATTTTGAGAACATTAGTAATCTACCCTATGAGCCTGATACTATTCAATCGAGGAAACAGGCTGTGAATGCGATGCATTTTTCAGAAGGAATTTCAGTCAAATTTTGGGCCTGTTGGAGGTTCGAATACCTCACACTACCAAGAGAGGTATAAAAACAACATTTAAGGGCAACCTCGCCACTCAGCAAGGTCTTGTCCCGACCTTGGAGAGGTCGTCTCGATAGTGCAAGACCTCATACCCAAGAGCAACTGGTCCTATGACAAAGTAACTGAGATAATTACTTTGGCTGAGAGTCTCATAAGATCAGCAAAAATGTTAATGCCAAATCACAACTTCACTCAAAGGCCACTGAACAATATTTCCCCTTTCGAGGTTCACAGTGTGTACGAGGAACCTTGCACTGAGGAAGAAATATCGAAAGTAACTAGCGAAAAACCGTACACAGAGTTTAAAGAAGTGAACCGGCAAGAACGGTTGCGCAAAAACTATCGAAGTCCTTCCCGAGGCATCGAAATCGCGTGCTCGTAGATCTTTCTAAACATAGATGGTGACCCTATTCACTGACGCGAAGTGATTACCCTTTCCGTATTTAGCGCGGGCTTACAAATCGGCGTCAACACGACTGTATTATCAATATTTTAATTCCTTCGACCTCACCGGTACGTACTTGTATATAGCCTCAATTCATTTATGAACACGTATATCCTTGTAACCACTGAATATTTTACAATACTATGGCTACAGTACTCTCAAAAACACACTCGCTCACACGCGGCTTAATCCATCTACCAACGACAGTGAACGGCGCCACATCTCAAGAACTCTCCAACAGACGGTCTGCAGTTTTTGTACACTGGATGAGAATCGGGATTCTTACTACACCAGCAGGTGTAGGAGATACCCCGGTCCCGTGCCACGAAGAATCAAAGCTGCAAAACTGCAGCTTTGTCTGAAATGCCTAAAACCAGGGCATGAAGACGCCTGCGAGGTGAAGTGCAGCAGTTGTGGTCTTGATCACAACTTGCTGCTCTGTCACCAACGCAGGCAAACACAACAGCCTCATAAGCGACACCGAGGCTGGATCTGAGGCTGGATCGTCACCAGCACACCACCCAACGAGCACTCATCCCTTTCAATCAGTCTTCATTACTTCAAAAAGCAGTCTACAGTTCCAACGTGCAGCTCTCACCAGCCAGTCTTCATTAATACAACAAGCAGTCACACTTCAAGCTTCCCCGCCGGAGTATTGTCGCCTGCGTATCGCAGGTGGTGAATCCCTTACGACCTCATGTGGCGGGGCGGACCACCTGGGCTAAGGCTCACGCCTAGTACTCTCTTGCCCATTACTCGCTATGTACTACGTGCGGTCATAATAAATATTACTCGATTCACTCTTCGTTTCGGTCTCAATCCCTATTATAGTAGTTCCACTGAACCACCGCATAAAAGGGTTAATCAACGCCCTAAGTCTCAGCGCCCGCAACAAGTTGTATCTGCTCGGTGAGATCCCTGAACAAAACATGGACGCCATCAGTGTGCTTGAAGGCGAAGTCGATTTTGAACGCAGTATCCGACTGAGTGTCATTGTTGTCGGAGCAGAGTAGTGATCGTAGTCTTGAGACGGAGAGTGTAGGTTGTAAATGCCTTTTTCCAAGAACCTTTTATCATATTTTCTATCAATCATGCAGTTATGGGTACATTCACCCGTATGTAGATAAACTCTTCAAAATTCGTGGCGATTTAGACGACTCTGACGTTTATTACTGAAGGCGAGCCTGAAGTAGAGTAGATCAGTAGGATCAGCTGATAGTGAGGCAGGACCTTGAATTGAGTGTATAATAGCTTTAAACATTCTAGTAATCAGTAGATGAAAAAAAGAAGCAGAAAAGAGGAATGGAAGGAAAGGGAGGAGGCCTGTAATTAGGAGGATTTTGACGTCCCGTGAACGAGTGGCACAGTAACCCCCTAGTACCCCACCACCCACCCCCGTGGGCTTCACCAAGGGTACCTCTTCTTTGCGTAGTAGATGTTACGGGTGCCTGGAGGCACTGCAGCGTGTGTTTGGGTTCCTGTGTCACACATTCTGGGGACGATTCAATCAGCCTGTAGGGATATCGCATCTTCACGATCAGTTGATCGTACAAATCTGAGGACGTCCAAATCGCAGCGAATTTTGCCGCGCAATTTACTGCGTGCACCTCCATGCGAATGTTATGTCCCTGTTTATTAATGTAAGCGTCTTATTTCACCTATAATTTGCGCTTATGGAGCCTACTGAAGATTGGTAGAGGATAGTGACGAAACGAAGCAAAAAGTATGAGATGTAAGTTGTTCATGAATTGCACGCCACATACATACATACTACCACTCTATAAGGGGGAGCGTCTGTTCTACGCATCCGTCGAAACTAGGCTACCCCGCCTACATCGCGCGCGGCGCAGCCTGCTGCGATTTCGAGTTGACATGACAGTACCCTAGAAGTCGGTGGAGCGAATAATTTGCGGTCCGTGTAATCTCCTCTTTAAGTTGATTGCCGTTGACCAAGCGCAAATCGATGCCTCATTGACAACTGGGACGTCCGCCAAGAATCGCTAGCTGGCGCGCGGCGTGACCTAGTTTCGACGGACGCGCGGAGCGTGGCGCACCTCTTTAAAGCATGCTACATACTAGGTTGATCGGAAGTTTTGATAGGGTTCTTGAAAAGCGCGGAGCTTCCGATTTTTGACCTGTGTATATCAGTGATCTATCATGTGGTTGTTGTAAAACATTTTGGAGTCTTGTTAGCAAAAAGTATATAAGGGCGCGTGCGCATACTTGAGTTTAAACACGATGTTAATTTACCAAGACTCTCTTCGAGCCATCATCTTCCATGAAAGGTGCTGGAGTGACAGCAACGACACTGGAGCGACAGCAACAGTCCATAACATCAACAGCGCATTGGGGGAGGACATCACTTCCATCGCTGCGATGCATCACTGGTTCGCCCGCTTCAAGGAAAGAGGCACGGGCTTCGAAGACAAGCCTCGCTCGGGACGCCCCTTCGCCGTCGACGACTCCGTCACTCTCGACACCGTCGAAAAGCATCCGGAAGTTAGCACCCGCAGTTTTGCGACGGGACTCGGGTGTGCCCAATAAACAGTCGTCGTTCGCCTACGAGCCCTCGGTTTCAGAAAAGTGCTGAGTCGATGGATACCTCATATTATGTCCGATAGCATGCGGTGCACCAAGGTATCGATTTGTCAATCTCTCCTTCTCCACCCACAAGGAGTTTCTAGTGGACCCAGCTCTGAGATGAAAGCTGGATCCTCTACGACGCTAACAAGCACCGCGCCGTCTGGCTCCCTCGAGCCGCTGACGCACTCCGAATTCAGCCTCCACCCCAAGAAGTTTCTCCTCTGCTGCTTCTAGGATTTCAAAGGAAGGTTGTACTACAAGCTGTTCAAGCAAGGCCACACCGTCACAGCTCCCTATTACGCTGGTCAGCTGCAGAAACTTGCGAAAGCCGTTCGAGAAAAATGACCTAGACTAACCTTTGTTCACCTCCTCCATGACAATGCTAAACCTTACATAAGTAAAGAAACCGTGCTAAATTGAAGGGGCTAGGCTGGGACATGGTTTCCCATCCTCCCTATTCGCCTGGTATTGCCCCCTCAGATTACGACTTGTTCAGGCCCCTCGAAGCTTTCATAGCAGAAAACAATTGATCAACTATGTCTACCTCGAACAAGCGGTCGGTGACTTTGACACCCAATCTTCTCAGTTCTGTGTGAACGAAATCACTGACGTGCCCACTAGGGGCGGGGGGGGGGGGGGCTGGCAATGTCATTACTAACAATGGTTATTATATTGTTGGTTAGCTTGCTTTGTTTATTGAATTGTAAGGTAAAGCAGAAACATCTCAACCCTATCAAAACTCTTGACCAATTTAGTATATAACGAGCCAAGTGTGTATGTGTGCGTGTGTGTGCGTGTGGCTATGTCCGGTGTGTTTGACCGGAAATTTATAACTTTTCCCCTTGGACATAGAGTGTTCGAATTTGATAGGAGTCAGACGGCAGTCTGGGAACACTGTTAATAGGTGAAAGGCTAGACACCGCCCACATGGGTTGAGGCCTGCGCGAAAATACATTTTTGGACCCATAAGGTTCAAGATTGGAAGAGATGCAGACGGCGGTATTGGGACACTGGTGGTGGTGGTACGAATGGACTTCACTCCAGGAGCTGTACGAGCGCCAAAGTTCTTCTATTGACCTAGTGTATTCAAATTTGGAGAGGGTTCAAGCGGCGAGATGAAAACATTGAAGGGTGGTCCAAGTGGCATAAGCACACATCATGAGATCAGCAGGTCTCCGACTTCGGCTGGGCGCTTACGAAGTGAGTCGTGCCCGTTGCGAGCGGAGACCTGCTTTAGACATGTGCGTGCGTACTTCCGAAGATTCTCTATTTCATCTGTCCTGTACCGGAGCATACCAATTCGAAAGAGATGCGATCAGCGGAGTCTTCAGCGTTGGCGATAAGACTAGAGAGAATAAAGTAAAGAAAGCAGTCAGTCCTTCGTTGCCTACGTTTCTATCAAGATATCTTGTCATGTACCAGAGGCATCCTGGATCTGGGATGTGAATGGCACAGAACATACGAAATACTCAGCTAAAATCTCAAGTATTAACCTAACCCGTCGAAGTCCCCTTGTCAACTACTGCCCAGACAATAAACCGTCTCATCAGGTTTCCCACAGAAACCCAAAAGAGCTCTAAACGATGAATCGATGAATAATTCCAGGAGTAGTGTGGAATGCAACTTTGCATCTTGTAGTGAAATGCCCATCGAAAATTCAACCATTCTTCTTCGTCTTCTTCCTTTTTCCTTATTTCCTTTTATCCTACCTCTTTCTTCTTTCTTCTTTCTTCTATATTCCTTCTTTTTATATCCTTTACCAGTCGGTTCGCCCGGCATAAGCCGGGCTTCCTTCCTTCTTTGGCAAAATTGTAGTAATCGGCTAACTCTTCACTCCTCCTTCGAAACGAATAATAGTTTTCTGCACACGAAGTTTGACACAAGACTGACAGAGCAGTGCGAATGGTATTCAGTGTAATTCGGTGCTTACGCCTTCGATTGGAGATGGTCTTCTGTGTTGGTCCTCTCTTTCTCAAAAATGAATACCCATCAAAAGGTTCAACTGTTAGTCAACCAAAGCCTTGAACGGTACATACAATAGTTCGAGCGGAGAAAACATCATTACCAGATGTCCTTATCGATGCACCTTGCCCTTTACGGAGATATCGTCAGTCAAGAATTCAAAATTATTGGCGGTCGGTTAAGTTTTGTTGCAGATGATATCCAACAAAGAGGATCCTTCACTAAGTCACAAACCTTGCTGAGTAGCGATCGTAATCTGATAGCGAGGAATGAACAAAATTCTCAGCTGCCTATTGCAGTGCCGCAAATGGGTCCCTATCACTGCACCTACCACTCACTTGCTCACCCTAGCATCCCGTCCTATTGGGTGGAACATACTGAATGATCGAAGCTCATCGTAACTACCGAAGGCGTTAGGATTTTGATCGGTAGGTGGTCTCCCTTAGGCCCCTTGTCAGTTAATATCGGTTCTTGTCACCTAGTACGTACGATCCCGTCATATCCTACATCACATATTAAAATGCTGAGTTTTCACTGTTAATACGAAAATTGTAATACTACCAAATCTCAACGCTCTAGATCAACGTAAACAGAAGTTATGAACTTGCGGCCCGAAATTTCTATCGCCGCACGCTCCTCCCTCTGCAGGCAATGTCTCTCCCTGCTGCTAGCCATAAGTATTCCTATCCTGTCCCCTGTACTCCCACCAACTTTAAATCTCTAGGTATGAGGAAACAGGAGTTACGAATTTCCGGTCAACCGTTCGATTTCCGGTTTCCGGTCACACACACACGCACACACCCACACACCGACAAACCAACAGACACATTTAGCGAATTATATATAGTGGGATAGTTTCGAGGGAAGTTTTGTATATAAACGGACAGTGAATATCTTGGCACATTGGGTAGCAAAGATCGGTTATATCGTTAAATAGACATCATTGTACGGCTAAGTGGCACCCAGTTTTACCTTATTTTCACACAACATTCTGTAGTGGGCACGTATCTGTCCCGTTCCCTATCAAAAGCACTGTTAATGAATTAGGCAGTCGCTAGACGGCGCTGTCTGCACTACAGTGGCAGCTAGCCAATAATGCTCAAGAAAGTAGAACTACTGTTAAATAATCGATGGCTACATCGGAAATGACATAGTAGAAGTAGTGAAGCACGAAAATGACGTCATATTAAAGTGACACACACTAAATTCTGGGCTATGTCAACCTGAAAAGAGAAAGTATTTTCGGGCAGTGTCTAATTTTCCCCTGAGAAGGATAGGGAAGGTGTCAGTGAATAACGTAATCCACGTAAAGTGATTTACTAAAAGGAATCATTTATTAACAAGATTCACAGCATTCTGTGATAGTGTCGAGAAGAAACCAATGATGCTTCCTCGCGAAATCGAGGAGGCGTCTACCCAAGTACGAAATCTTTAATCGCATGAAGACCGCTTATGCTGTTTCTTGCGGCTGAATAACGTCACTCATCTTATTACAAGAACAGCATAAAAGTATAGTGCCTCGAAAGGCTGCCATTTGAGATAAGCTCAATGCATCACCTGGGATCTCCCTATATATAAAGCGTTAACTTCGTATGTCTGATTGTATGTCAGTTTGTGCGTCTGTCCGCGAAAAATCACGATTAAATGTGTGAAATGTTACGTAGACGCAGTGAGGAAATAGTTATGAAATAGGAAGTCTACCGATACTTTTTATATTGATCCCCTAACAAACCTTACCATTAACAAACGTATTGGACATGTGATGCAGGCGTTAGCGTGCGTAGCCCTACTGGTACTATATATATATATATATATATATATAGTACC